ATGGCTTTAAGATAGGTGTCCACCTATCTTAAAGTTGCCAAGGTTGAGAAATGCTGTCTTAAACCATTGTCTGGTTTATTCTCTTTGGGCATCACCTGTGATGTGAATACAGCAACTGTGTTCTTAACCCAGGCTGACAATGAAGCAGGTTGTGTGAACTCAGCCAAAGACCATCTTGGCCACTTTCTTTGGAAAGAAGTGGAGAGGCTGGACTCAGGCACGGATTCTCATCCCAAGCCCACCTTCCATCGGATTATTTTACAAAAGCAGTTTCTTCTCCAGCTGTTTTGCCTCTGGCAGGGGACGCGGGGAGTCTGGATTGCACCTTCTAGGGGACAGATTGGACCCAGGGGCCAGGCCGGCCACCGAGAAGGCTCAAAGCAAAGGATTGTCTATTCTCAAGCTAAGGAACTACACCCATTTCGCAGACTGACTTATGCACCAGCTGCTGCTGAAGCCACTCAACAGACTTAAGAGGGGTGCACAGGATGCAACCTGCCGTGTGCAGTGGGGTCCTTCTGATCCTGCTTTCCGTGTCCCAAATGCCGGGAGAAGCATCCAGCAAGTACTGGATGACCCGAGGATCTCCCTCACGGCTGGCTATGTGGAAGCAATTCCAGCCGTCCTTGTTCTTCAGCAGCAGGTTGGCTCCATGCTGGACAAGATCTCGAATGATCTCCAAGTTTCTCCTTGTACAAGCCATCATAAGAGGAGTCCTAGAAAAGGAGGAGGGAGGATGGTCAAAATTTTCAAGACTTTTCAGAGGAGACCATCCAGATGTATCAGGACCACAACTTCCATGATCCCCTGCCTCCCTAGGACCAGCCAGAAACCTCCCTCAGATGCTGAGGAACCAAATGGAGAAGATTCATCTTCCCTTTCGATTCCTCCTTAAGTGGTGCAATCAGCACTTGGGAAGTTCAGGGGTGGGAAAATCCTGGCTCCCCAGGAATTGTTGGACTTCAGCCCCCAAGATCAAGAGTCTGGGACGGATCGGACTGGAAGTCCCACTAGGCTCCAGCCCTGTTCTAATTTTGGAAGAACAAAGGACTGTATGGAGAAGAGCATCCTTGGACTGTCTGAATGCCAGCCACTTCATACTGTATCAAAGGGCAGTGCCATTTCTGAATAATGCAACTGAAAGAGCGGCGTGCATCCGCGCCTGGACAAACGGGACAGGCCCTGAGAAATCTCTAGTTGTCTGAATCTCCATTGTAAGATAGAGGTTCATTAGTCTGGTAATGACTGATTGGTTGACGAATCAAGCCAACACATGTGTGGACCAAGTGTACAGTATATGGACTGAATCTAAGTTTGATTAATATTATGCAAAAACATACAGACTTTCTTGGGTCAACTCTGACTCACTTTTCCTGGCTACGCTACTGAAGTGATTTGCCATGGCTTCTTCCGGGATATATATATAGGTAGTCCTTGACTTACGACCATTGGTTTAGCGACCTTTTGAAGTTACGACAGCACTAAGAAAAGTGACTTACAACAGGTCCTCACACTTTCGACCGTTGCAGAGTGCCCAGCAGTCATATGATCAAAATTTGGGCACTTGGCAACCAGCATGCATTTGCAACAGTTGCAGTGTCCCGGGGTCACCTGATTGCCATTTGCAATCTTCCCAGCTGGCTTCTGACAAGCAAAGCCAATGGGGGAAGCCGAATTCACTTGACCACGGCAAAAAGGTAGTAAAATTGGGCATGATTCACTTAGCTCCTGTCCCAATTGTGGTTGTAAGTCGAGGACTACCTGTATATATATCTCTCCTCTCCATCTAGCCTACAAACC